TCATTTTAGCAGCCAACTTCGTCACATTCGCTACCACCATGTATGTGAACGATTGCCCTGCAAGATCAGATGAGTGTCTCTTATTTGATGTCCTTGGAAGGCTTTCGTTTCAACCGATTAAGGAGAATATGCTACTCGGTCCTTCTATTCCCACGTAAGGAAGGATTTCTTGATTCCATAATGGGTTTTTTTCTCTCCGGGTAGAACAAGAATCTATTAAAAACTGGTTAAATACTTACAGAATGCATCTTTGTTGTTGATTCAGGCTGAGAAAACTCGGAGCTCTCGAAAGGAGACTTGTGGAGGAAGGTGAGAGATGGCGTCTCATCTCTTGCATATGGCTTCATGGTGGTTTCCTTCACTTGATGGCTAACATGATCAGCCTCATGTGTATCGGAATGCGCCTTGAACAAGAATTTGGATTCAGTAAGACCCTTTAAACCCTTCCGTCTCCTGAATTTTCTGTGATCTGATTTTAAGAGTTTGGTGTTACAGTGAGAATTGGAGCTTTGTATGTGATCTCCGGACTTGGAGGAAGCCTGGTGTCTTGCTTAACAGATTCCCAAGGAGAACGGGTATCAGTCGGAGCATCTGGTGCTTTGTTCGGATTACTCGGTGCAATGCTCTCAGAGCTCATCACAAACTGGACAATCTATGAAAATAAGGTAAAAAGATTTTTCATTTTCGACTTCAGATTTCTAGAAAAATAAAGACTTTATGGTGCGTTATTGAAAGCTGATCTCAAACTTTTTTGTAGTGCACCGCACTTATGACATTAATCCTGATCATTGTACTGAATCTAAGCGTCGGATTCTTACCACGTGTGGACAATTCTGCTCATTTTGGAGGATTCCTAGCTGGTTTCTTCCTGGGGTTCGTCCTTCTTCTCCGTCCCCAGTACGGATACGTGAACCCAAAATACATTCCTCCTGGTTATGACATGAAACACAAGAAATCAAAACACAAGTGTTATCAACACATCTTGAGATTTACATCTCTAGCTATCCTTCTTGCGGGGTAAGTTTACAAAAGAGATTTAATGAATCATTGTTCAAAAGTAGTCGAATTATCCACCAACACATAAACAAAACCTCCGGTGTTGTGAAAAGTTTCATCCCTTACCTGTAAATAATTGAATTTTTCCTTGAAATTTCTGCAGATTCATTGCGGGATACACTAAGCTTCTTAGAGAACATACCATACAGAGCATGCCATTCAGAGATTTCAATTAGCAGCTTGTAGCCAGCAGACCAGTGAGACATTCTCTGGAAAAAAGACAATTTCACACAATCCCAAGGTTTTTTCCATATATATAACACAAATATCAACATCGGAAAGGTTATACATTTGACGAGTACATGATTCGAAAAGTAGTACATATGTATCTATTGTTTAATGGCTGTTGTAAACTATACATCTGTATAAAAGCTTATATTAATCTGTAGGATTACATATCTAGTTTTTTTTTTGTGGCAAAGTAGGATCACATATGTATTCTTAGAGCTCACATGAATCAGATCGACCAAACATTGCATATCGATTGTTTGCAACATTTTCATAGAAAAAGTCTCTCACAAACCTGCAACATGTCAAACGAAAAATGTTTATTAAGATCAATCACATCGCGGTGTTTCCTTCTGCTGTTTAAACCTTAAGCGAGAACTTACAGAGGAGCAAACTGCAAGAAGAACGCAAGCTGTGGAAATGGTAAGTCGATGTATTTCATGATCTTCAAGACTGCTTCTGATTTTATGTAAGACCTGAAATAAAACACATATCACTCAATTGATGCCCTGCAAAGCTTTTTACAGTTACATATCAAAACATAAATGTTACTGTCAATGTACCTATCGTTTTCGACAAGTACGACACTCGATATATCGTCAGGAGCTCTTCCTGATCGCATTAACAGTTTCTTGCCCGCTTCGCTCTGTAATGCTTCAAACCTTATGCTCCTGAAAAGATTATCATAGTTTTTTTTTCCTTCCATTTCAGTTCTTTATCGACTCTCCAGTGAAAAAAATGAAACTTGTAGTTCAAATGAACACTAACCTGTTTCGATCATGGTCTCTAACAAATTTCACACCTCCATTACAGAGATTACAAACACCTATCACACAAGAACAAGAGTACTAAGATTCAGATAAACATCAACTTCACTACGTTGATACATTCTACTGACCCAAAACTTATATAGTTATACGCGTATGATAAAACTATAGCATAAGTGAAAATTTTGAAAAAAATCGTACAAATAAAACAATATAAATGAAATTTTACTAATTGAAGTCGATACACTGAAATTAAAGAATCAACTAAACGTGATTACCGTCGAACAACATGATCGGCCTTTTATCTTCTTCGAAAAAGCTTGAAGTTTCCTTAACCCAATCCACTGAATCGCGACGAATAGTGCGTTGGTTAGCAGAAGCAGAAACTCTCACTCTAACTTGTGCACGCGACGTAATCGTTAATCGCCCGAAACTCGCCGGAATAAGGATCGCCATCTCAAAGCTTCACCGGAGAGCCACTGAGTTTGGCTTAGCTTTGATTTTAGTTTCCTTGAGAAGTGGTTTTTCCGTAAATAAGGATTGATCTTAGGGGTAAAGGATATGTCACGTCATTAAAATGTAGCCAACCACGTCATCAAAATGCAGCCAACCAAAGATTTAAACCACGTCACTAAAGAATTTTCTTAAACCGGTCCTAATTGGTAAACCGGCTTCCTAATTTGGTACCGATCTTGAGAAAAAACGCTCGTCGTGCCTTAAAGCTGACCCTGAGAGAAACTCTTCTTCTTCACTGCAAACGCTTTTGAGACAAAGTTCGTCACTTCGATCTGAATTATAATACTTCGTGCTTGAATCGGAATAATCGAAGGTTCAAGATGGGTTGGATCGGAGAAACTGTAGATTCTATCAAATCTATTCAGATCCGTCAGCTTTTCACTCAAGCGATCAGTCTAGGTTCGTTCTCCGTTCTTCATCTAATCGAACTTAGTCCGTATTTTGATCTCTGTGTCCTTATATCGATGAATTGGCTTTAAGATTTCACTAATGTATGAACTTCGCTGCTCCAAAGTTGAAAATTTGCAGTAAATTAGAGACCTTTTTGGTTAATTAGAATTGATGAAGTCGATGGTGTTCCATTTGTGATTGTTTTCCTGAAAAATTAGGTCTAATTCCGAGTATATTACTAGTCTTACTTGCGAAATGTTAAAGTTTGAGACTTTTTGTTTTTGTTCTGAGCTAACATGATTAGACACCTGATGATTTATTGGTGGTTGGATTATTTGTTTTCAATATGATTCTGCTTCTGTGTTTTCGTCTCATCGAATTCAGTCCAATTTGGATTTCCGTGACCGATTTTACAGTGCGAGTGGCGTTTTGTTATGTAAATAAAGTTGAGATCTTTCCAGAAAATTAGAGACCCCTTTGGTTATTAGAATTAATGAAGTTGATGGTGTTTCATTAGATCGTTTACTAGTCTTACATGCGATTTTGAAGTATATAGTCTTTTGAGGGGAAATGTTATTGTTAAAGTTTGTGACCTTTTTTTTTGTTCTTAGCTAACAAGATTAGACACCTGATTGTTTATTGGTGGTTGAATTATTTGTTTTCAATATGAGTTATATGACAGAAGTTGTGTCTTAAGTGAATGATAAATTGCTCTCTGTGTTGAATTCTGGTAGGGATGATTGTCACATCTGCTTTGATCATATGGAAAGCTTTGATGTGTGTCACTGGAAGCGAATCTCCGGTGGTGGTTGTTCTCTCTGGAAGCATGGAACCCGGTTTTAAGAGGGTAATTGGACTTAGGTTTTCGGGATACATAAGATTTTACAGCGCCTTTACTCTCTCTTTGTGGATGAATCAGCTACTAATAATCTATTTGAGGGTCAGCATATTTCTGTTTGTTAACTCAAAATTGTATTGAATGTGATATCTTATAGGGGGATATATTGTTCTTGCACATGAGTAAAGACCCGATTCGAGCAGGTGAAATTGTTGTTTTCAATGTTGATGTAAGTTTCCCATTTCTCTTTGTCTCATTTTCTCTCCTTTAATTCGTGGGTCTTCCTCTTAATCGGTTTTTCTTTGCATCATGCTTCTCCTCAGGGTCGTGATATTCCCATTGTCCATCGTGTCATTAAGGTAACATTTTTCTAGACTTCCTCTTATTATCTCTTGGTACGTATGTTGTAAAAGATTGGTGTAGAAACCTAACTGATTCTTGGGCGTTTATCACATTATAGGTTCACGAAAGGGAAAATACAGGAGAAGTTGATGTTCTAACGAAAGGTACTGTGAGTTGTTTTTTAGTGTTACTCGTGGATACACACATTCACATTTCAATTCATGTTACCAGGTGACAATAACTATGGAGATGACAGACTTCTGTATGCTGAAGGACAGCTTTGGCTTCATCGACATCATATAATGGGTCGTGCTGTCGGGTAATTAGTATACTTGAGTCACAATACTCTCAATACCTGTGCAATACTTAAATCAAAGCTCTTCCGTGACTCATAATTGTTTTACCTTTTTGTCTGATTTAGGTTCTTGCCTTATGTTGGATGGGTGACTATTATCATGACAGAAAAGCCTATCATCAAGGTACATTTTCACTCTTTGATCCAATCAAAAATGAATATTTTTCGCTTTTTGTTTCCGGTTTTGTGACCGCTACATTTGTATCTTCTCTTCTTGCAGTATATTCTCATAGGTGCATTGGGTTTACTCGTTATAACGTCAAAGGATTGAGTCTTTTGGAAAGGAGTGGACTCTGCAGAGTGCAAACCCTTAAAGTCTTGTTATTTCAATGGAAAAAAAAAAAAGACAAACAATTTAAATACTCGTTTTTGTGGTTAGATAATTTTAAAGAGTAGAATCTTCTTTTTCCTGTCAAACTAAATTATAAACAGTGGAAAGTTAATTTTTAGTTGTGGAGACTGGAGAATGAGTTTACCTAAAATATTAAGATAAGTTAATCCTATGATCGGTTCCTTCGGGGTCATCCGATAAAATTGAAACGATACAAAGAAGATTACCATGGTTCCTACCCAAGGATAACACGCATAAATAAAAAAATGGTCCAAATCTAAAAAAATAAAATAATAAAAACAACCTATGATCAAACTTAAAAGCTGGCTCTCTCTTTATTTTTTTTAATCTATTAATAATAAATGTTATTTACACTTTTGAATAGTAGTGTCTCTTAAAATATTGAAAGTTATTTTTTGACATTTGTGTATTTTCATCGTAAACAGTAGTATCTGTTAAATTGTTGACGGTTACTTTTTTACATTATTATCTTTTCATCGTAAACACTTGTATCTGTTAAAATATTGACGGTTATTTATTTACATTCGTGTCTTCTCATTGGCCGTTATTTTTTTACATTCGTGTATTTTCATCATAAACAGTTGTATCTGTTACAATATCGACGGTTATGTTTTTGCATTCGTATCTTTTTATCGTAACTTTTGATTAACATTGACAGTTATTTTTTCCGTTAATGTCTTTTTATCGCAACTTCTCGTAAAACTGTATTTTCATCGTAAATTGTTTGTCTGTTAAAAATTGATGGTTACTTTTTTACATTCGTGTTTTTCTTCGTAAACAGTTGTGTCTGTAAAAATATTGACGGTTATTATTTTACATTCGTATCTTTTTATCGTAACTTTTGTTTAATATTGACGGGTATTTTTACTGTTACTGTCTTTTTATTGCAACTTCTCGTAGAACTGTATTTTATCGTAAACAAATGTGTCTGTTAAAATATTGATGATTACTTTTTTACATTCGTATCTTTTTATCGTAACTTTTTTATATATGGTTATTTTCCCATTACTGTCTTTTTATCGCAACTTTGTGTAAAATATTTAGGGTTATTTTCTTTCGTTGTGCCTCTTTATTACAACTTTCCGTTATAATATCGACAATTATCTTTTTCGTTTATGTACTCCTCTTGATTCCTGAGTCCAAAATCGTCCTTAGCTTCCTTTTCTTTAGTTTTTACTCCAAAATATCTCCACATCTCCATTGTTGTCCCACTGCATAGAATACTTGAAAAGACACTAAAAAGACTCGAGAAATAACATAAAGACTCAAAATCCTATACCTAAAACATAGATAAAATCAGTGAAAATAGGATTATATCAATATCGCAGGGGTCCGAGTCCTATTATTATTAATGCTTTACGTTTATATTAATTAAATGAACATAATGTTTTTGATTGCTTAAGTGGGATTATTTTCTAATATTTAAGCCCAACAAAATAAGATCTCAATATAATTAAATTTAAAAATAATAATATTTTATTTAATCTATATTTAGTTAAAACAAAATGAAAACAAGATTCCTAACTTTATTTTATTTAATTAATTATAAGGTATATGATTATATCTATATTTGGTTAAAAACTAAATGTAAGTGTATTTTTCAGATTAATTTTTTAATATATATATATATATAATTAGCATTTAAAAAACTTTCCTCAAATCTCTCAATCAAAATTCTTTAAATGATTACAGATGTTTAAACTTTAATTTTATTAGGAAACATAAAAACTTGTTAAATAATCATTTAAAACAATCTTTTAAATTGATTTAAATTATATGTCTTTTAAATAAAGATATTATTAAAAAGAAAATTACAAAACGATGTTTAATTTCTAACTAACATTTTGAAATTTAATTTTAAGCTGTATTTGTTTTGTTAGTATTTTTAATTTTGTTTAGTGTTTAAAATTGTATAATTGTATTTGATTGTTAATTTCACCCGTAGTATATAATCATGTATTAATATCGACCCAAATCCGACAATTCTAGGATTTTACCCGTACTAGAAAGTTTATATGTTTATAATATTTATACTTCTTATAAAAGAATCGAGATGTGTTTCTTAAAAAAAAAAAATTTAAGTTGTATTTGTTTTGTTGATATTGTTTGTTTTGTTTTGTGTTTAAGATTGTATATTTATGTTTTGATTGTTAAATCTAGGATTTCACCTATGGTATACCGTCTCATATTATTATCGACTCAAATTCGTAAATTCTAAGATTTCACCAATATTATAATGTTTAAACTTTCTGAAAATGAATCAAGATGCATTTTTAAAAAAAAAAAGTTATATTTGGTTTGTTAATAATATTAACGTAAATCCGTAATTTTCACGCCAAAAATGTAAACTAGTAAAAAGTGAAATCCATAAATATCCTAAGTTTTGATGATAATGAATTAATAATTATTAATAATGATAATTATTTATTATTGTTTTATAATAATAATTAGTTAAATTATTACTTAAATGGGTTACCCATTTAACAACTCAACTCATTTAACAAAATAGGTTGGGTCAACCCATAATTCATTTAACCCTAAACTCATTTGATTATAAGTTGAGTTGAGTTCGGTTATCTATTTTGATATCCTTACTTAATATTATTGTTAATATTATCTAGATTTTTTTTAAAGAGATGTAGAAATTTAGATAATATCTAGTCCAACAGAATCAAACGAGAAAACTCGAGATTAAATTCAAACAGAAAATTTGAAGAAATTAAAATCCAATATTGATACAAATATCTTGAAATAACCAAGAAAAAGTAAAGAGGGGAAACCTAGCTAAGCCGTCACCACGTCCTCCGCTGCCACAACCACCACCACAACCTTCACCACGGCACCACTACACACACAACTACATCCTCCTAAACCACCACCACCACCACCTTCACCACGGCACCGCCAGTGAGTGTATCTTTATTTTTCTTTGTCAGCCCAGTGTCTGTATCTTTTGTCGACACCCCGTATGGAAAACAACACTCCAATATTTGTCCCACTACAAACGAAACAGCAATGAGGATTAATAACCAATAAACAGGGTCCATGATCTCTCTCTCTGCAATAACAAATCAGAAATATGTTTATCAAAAAACGTTTAGTTGGTTTCGTAATAAATACAAGTGCTGTATTTATATTATAGTCATTATTATTTATATTCAAAATTTGTAAAAAGCAAAGAAAAACTTAGTTAGGTTTTCTTATTATTTTTTTCCGTCAGAAACGCAGTTAAGAGATTATCCAAAACAAAGTAAATATCAAAATGATATCAAGATTACGATAATAACAAACAACAATAATATCAAGATTACGACAATAACCAACAACAATAGTATCAAAACTACGACAAACAATAATGATATCAAGATTACGACAATAACAAAGAACAAATGAACAATAATATCAAAAAAGCTAAAAGAAAATCCTAACTAATTTTAATTTAAAACTTTAATACACAATTGTTTTAGATTGAAAAATAAAAACCCAAAATAAGAAATCGATGTATGAAAAAACATGATTTTTATCTGAGTAGTTGAATAAGATGTGTAAATTAATAAACGTTAATTTTGCTAACGAAATTTCTAAACCGAGGTTAATGGTTAACCAAACGTGGTTAATTTGGTTTTGCGAAAGACTAAAATATCCTCGTTCGTTTTTCCCAAATACTAGTTTACAATCGTGAAAGCTTACAACCTTAATTTCAATTCTATTCTTTACGATGGTTAGTCATAGCTCTGAGTCTAATGCAAATTCGGCGAGCAGGAATTGGGGTCCTCTTTGCAATTGTGGTAGAGCTACGACGGTTGTGAAAGCGTGGACTAACGAAAATCCTGGAAAAAGATTTTTCAGATGTGGTGCTCATGGATTCTTTGATTGGGCAGATGTTGAGAAGGCATATAGTTGGCAGAAAGTGAGCTTATTAGAAGCTAGGATGAGATTCGTCAACAGAAAGAGGAAATCAAGGCACTTAAAGAATCTCTTAAGGCCATGAGTTGCCAAGATTTGAGTGGTTCGACAACTATGAACCGTGGGTTGGTGAAACTCGACGAGCAAGAAAAGGAGAAGCTTGAAAATGAAGTTGTGGTAGCTAATGAGAGAAAAAAAAAATGCTTCGTCAGTTTATTGTGTAGTCTTGGGAAGGCTTCATTGTTGTCATTGGGATGGTACTTGGTACTTGCAATGGGGAAGTAGTGTTTTGGAAGTAGTGTTTTGTTGTTGTTTGAATTTTTTTTTTTTTTTTTTGTGGTATGTAAGTTGTTGTCTTGCTTGAAGTAATGGAATCTAAAATTAACATAAATAGTCATTCTATTAAGTCAAAAGAGTTGTTAAGTTTAAGAAAAAAAATAAAGATCCCAACAAAAAAACAAACTAGGATCACACAATACCATCCTACATGATTAATGATTATCATACATAGTTAATTAAACATCATCCTACATCAATAAGAACCTTAAAAGACATGATCGAGGACTATTGCTTGTAAGGTTGCCAAACATCAAAGACTTTGTTAGTCCATAAAGACATGAAAAAGACAGGCGGCTTAGGAGGTTCATCAGATTCTTTGCACGACCCTTGCCACTAGTCTTGCCTTCACCATTTTTCACTTCCGGGGGACGTCCACTAGCACGTCATGTACCCTTTTGATTTGCTGCATGAGCACTTGAATGTTGAGAAATTTGTGTGGACTGGGTTTGAGCACCAGTTGGTCTGGGCTGACTTTGAGCTTGCTGCACCTTCTTGGTCCATTGTTTATGCTCTATGGATCATCATTATCCTATGACAAGTTTTACAACTTAGATCCGACATAGTTCAAATTTAGCCAAAACACTAACATAAAAATGTCATATAACTTACCAGACTCTTTCTTGGTCTCCCTCTTTTGCGTGGAGGAGGTAATTGTACTATGACATTTTTGCAGGTTCCTTTGTTATGACCTGATTGCTTACAGTTTGTACAAGTCACATTTCCTCCTGCTTTTGATGCCTTTGATGGAATAGTTACTGATTCACCTGGTTCTAGCATCCTAACAAACTTCTTAGGACGTCCTCTCTTCTTCCTTCTATCAAAACTTAAATTGTGTCTTTTCCTGTTTGCTTCCACAACATCTCTCCATTCACTGGCTCAATGTTTTTTCTTGTAGGTCGATTGTCAAACACTTGTCAGTAAATACTTATCAACATAGCTACAAAGACAGATAAATTATATCAATCAACAAAGTACAAAAGTATTAACAATCGAATTTGGATGCACTTACTCTTCT